ATACATACTAAAACTTAAAAAAAAAAAAAACAAGAAAATAGTGTAAATGATGACTCAGCACTTAATACACACTCTTCATTTGAATAAATGCTGCTCAGTTTTTAAACATCTTATTTTTCAGACAAAACTGACTTTCAGTATAGCAGCAGAGGATAATATATAAAAAGGTAATCATGTTTCAAAGAAGATTCTGGAACAACAGTTGATATTTAGATTAAATCATTTCATTATTATATTTTTACAGTAATGAAAACTTATTGAGGATATTCTCACAGTAATTTGAATATTGCCTGCATTTTATATTTCAGACTAATCTTATTCATTCAGCTCCATGTCCACATAAATAATTCTTATGTCCTTAAGAAAATGTTCAATCCTCGCTGCTATGACCCACGCCATCTTCACTTGTGAAGTTGATGAAGTGAGGTTTTAAAGCCTAATGCATTGCACTCCATGTTAATCGCCGTGAATGCGTGTCAGCTAAACGCCTCCAATGTAAAATGAGATTGGACTGAAAGCAGCTAATAGAGCCGCGGCTGTGATTAGCCTCAGAGCTGCTGCAGTGAACTGTGGTGGTGGTTTGTATCAGCAGGGACCCACCGGCTCTGTTTGCCTGCTGACATGATAGCATTTCCTACAGGAAAGACCCTAATTAACTGTTGTCATTAGTTTTTTTTTCTTTTTTTACCTGCAGCCATTTCTAATTTCCTGTGTCTGCTAAGCATCAAATCTATCTGCCCCAGTTTCCATCTCCCAGATAACCTTCACATTTTTAATTTACATGCATATTTTTTTAAAACTTTCTCACACTCCTAAGTGTCTTTTTGTTTCTTTATCATTTTTGCATTATTGTCCTCTTGTTTCATCTCATATTGTCTCTTATTGTATAATTTTCTTCACTTTGCTGGAGTGATTGTTGGCAAAGATGAGGTTTGAATTAGAGGCACAGATGTTTGGGATCTCTCCAAAAGCAGTGGCTCTTCCCAGAAAAAAAAAAAGAAAATAAAAGAAAGAAAAAACTCTTTATTTTAAGTGCAAATGAGAGAGTTGGAAGGTTTAGATTTTATCTTATAGAAATGTCTGAGTAAAATCAAAATCATTATAGCAAGAACTTATCTGCTCTTTACTTTAGTTTGATTAAAACTGAGGAAACTGTTTTTTATGGCAGCATGTTGGAACATAGTTATTTTTATCACCTTTACAACTATTCCTAAACATTTCTTCTTTTTTTGTAACTGTCCATACAATATATGCTCAATAACATTTTCTTTTCTAAAAAAGAGTGTTATAGATATGCACTCATCGACAGAACAAAAACACTGCTGCATGTCTTTGTGCATGGATTCATTAGTTTGCATTTAATGAAACTTTCAGAAAGTAAAAATTGCATGTATGTCTACGACTGACTAACATTTAGAAGGTAACTCAATGCAAAATCCTCACTAATCAAATATATCAAACACAAACATGTCTTTAATCCAGTTGGTTTTACAGAGATTGAACTGAGAGTTTTCTGCAGCACATCATCTGAGCGTTGACGCATAGGTCAATATCTTTGTTTAAAGCTGTGGCATAATATGCATTCCTTTAAATATTTTTCCCCTTTTTGCTTTACATTTTTGGTCTATTTTCTGATGCCCTGGTGTCACATTACTCAAAAGCTGCAGTCAAGTGCTGCTTCAACATATTTTTACTCAAGCAAAAGTAAAAATAATAATAATAATAACAATAAAAAAACAAATATCTGTCCAAGAAA